AAACTTTCTGCAAAGTTTCTTAAAACTTTCTGAAAAGTTGCCAAAAAGTTTTCAAAAACGTTTCCGAAAACTTTCCAAGAAGTTCCCAAAAACTTTCTAAAAAGTTCCCAAAGTAAGGAAAAGTGTCCCAGTCCGGCTCTCCCACGCTCTTCTGTCTGGTTCACGTCACCCTGAAATCCAAGATTAATTTTGTGAGAGAAAAGATGCCGGCGGATGTCTCTGAATCCAAATTCAGGGGAAAAGGTCTCTCTTTGGTCCGGTGTCCTCCGATGTCAAGCAACACATCATTCTTCAGATGGAAGGAATATCATGAAGAGGTGAATTGGACCACAGCTTGGGAAATATATATTGTACGTTTTGCAATGCACTTTGGAGGCTTTGGAGATGGAGTCTAGACTAAACCGGCAGCCAATTCCTCAGACAGGCTCGCTCCTCCTCGGCAACATCAAGAGGGGCAGGAGGTCAGCCGGTAACAAGGGGAAGAAAATCATTATTATTTGCAGAATGGTGAGTGAGATGGGAAAGAATGTGCATGAATCATCCAAGCAGATGGAAGCCATTCAGCAAAAAGGGAAAATCTCTTCCGCAGCTTTGGCTTACAAACCGGCAGAGCTCAGAGAAACTTCTCTTCGTCCCCATAATTCCCAAGCAAGCCTCCTGGGAATTGTGGCCCAAAGGCCATAAAATAGAGTGGAAATTCCTTTATTGTGACATTGGACCCAGCTTTTAGGATTTGCCAAAAGCCAAATATAATAATAATAATAATAATAATAATAATAATAATAATAATAATAATTCTCATCTGCCTCTCCTCACGGCTCGAGGCAGATTACAAATTGGTAAAACACAAATCGAAACACGCAATCATTTAAAAACACTACATAGAATACACATATTATTATTTATTTATTTATTTATTTATTATTTGCACTTGTTAACCGCCACTCTCAGCCCGAGGGCGACTCGTGGCGGTGTACAGAACATAGAAAAAGACAACAGTTTACAATAAATCAAGACCAATACAACAACGAATTAAACTAAAAATCCGCATTCGTCTAGTTTGGAGTCATAATCAATCTCATAGTCATAGTACATTCCGGTGGTCATTCCAACAACGTAGCACTTAGTTGAAGGCCTTTTCGAAGAGCCAGGTTTTCAGGCCCTTGCGAAAGGCCATGAGGGAAGGCGCCTGTCTGATTTCAGCAGGGAGGGAGTTCCATAGCCGAGGGGCCACCACCGAGAAGGCCCGCTTTCTCGTCCCCGCCAGGCGTGCCTGAGAGGCAGGCGGGACCGAGAGAAGGGCCTCCCCAGATGATCTCAAGGTCCTCGTGGGCTCGTAGGCCGAGATGCGGTTCGCAAGGTATTTTGGGCAAGGTATTAAAGCATATTTCTATAAAATACATATTAAAATACGCAAAAATTACTATATAGAGCAGTGGTTCTCAACCTCCCTAATGCCGTGACCCCTTAATACAATCCCTCATGTTGTGGTGACCCCCAACCATAATATTGTTTTCGTTGCTACTTCATAACAGTCATTTAACTACTGTTATAAATCATAATGTAAACATCTGATATGCAGGGTGTATTTTCATTCACTGGACTAAACTGGGCACAAATACACCATGCAACTACATGTGAACGCTAGTGGGGTTGGGGGAGGATTGATATTGTAATTTGGGAGTTGTAGTTGCTGGGATTTATAGTTCACCTATAATCAAAGAGCACTCTGAACTCCACCAGTGATGGATTTGAACCAAATTTGCCACACAGAACTCCCATGACCAATGGAAAACACTGGAAGGGTTTGGTGGGTATTGACCTTGAGTTTGGGAGTTGTAGTTCACCTATATCCAGAGGGCACTGGAGCTTGGGGAAAATAGACCTTGACTTTTGGGAGTTGTGGTTGCTGGGATTTATAGTTCATTACAATCAAAGAACATTCTGAACTCCACCAATGATAGAATTGGCTCAGACTCCCCACATGGAATCCCCATGACCATCAGATATTACTGTGTTTTCTGATGGTCTTTGGTGACCCCTCTGACACCCCTTCGCGACCCCCTCAGGGGTCCCGAACCCCATGTTGAGAAACACTGATATAGAGAGATAGAGATATAGGTAAATGTGCTGTCGCGCACTGGGCCTATAGCAATTGGCTTTTGAACAGGACATGCTCTTTGTGCCCAGCGGGAAGCCGGGGTGCCTCGGATGAGAGGCCCTATGGGTTTTCCTATACAAAGACTTTAGAAGCCTAAAAGTTTAACAAAGTTCTTTATTATTGCTTAGGTCTTCAACAAATCATACAAATGTTTCTTAGCTTGTCTACAATGGACAGGCAACTCGCTTGGAGAACTATTTTCTTTCTTTTACAAGGAAAACCCTTTTTGACCCCTTCCTGGGCAATCTGCTTTCTAGGCTTTGCTGGTGTGGGTTCTACTCCCGGCTCCAAATTGCTTCTTGGGTACCCGAGTAGACCTACCAGCCAAGGCTCTGAAGAATTTCCAGCTGGAGTCCTTAGGATTTTTCGCACGAAAGTTGTAGGTCTGTTTCTCCAGCCCCAACAAGGGTAAAGCCTTTCTTTAGAGACTGTTCTTAAAGCTGTGAGGCTGTAAATTCCTCAGCCAGAGCTTTTGGGACTGTTTTCCCCTCGGACTTTTGTAAGGAACGAAGCTTCTCTACAGGTAGAAAACTTTCACGTCCTGTAGCTGAGCTTCCAACTGTAAGACTGAACTAAAAATGGTTCCCTTTCCCTCCTGAACCTGGGAAAAAGGGCGGAACTAAAACTTAGCGATGATAGACAGGTGGCTAGCCCCATGACTGCAGCCTAGCAGGAACCATCCAACTGCAAAATGCATGGCCAGAACAAGCACATGCAAATGCTCAAAGAACGAAAGGGAGTTTGGAGCTCCTGGTACAACCGTACCAGCACAGTAAAGGGAAAGTTTTCCCCCTGACATTAAGTCCAGTTGTGTCTGACTGGAGGTTGGTACTTATCTCTATTTCTAGGTGAAAGAGCCGGCATTGTCCATAGACACCTCCAAGGTCATGTGGCCAGCATGACTGCATGGAGCACCATTATCTTCCCACCGGAGCAGTACTTATTGATCTACTCATGTTTGGATGTTTTCGAACTGCTAGGTTGACAGAAACTGGGGCTAACAGCGGGAGCTCACACCGCTCTCCGGATTTGAACGTGACCTTTCAATCAGTGTGTATGTGTGTGTGTGTAAGTATGTGTATGTATATGTGTGTGTGTGTGTGTGTGTATAGATATATATATTCCTTACTTGGGAAACTTTTTAGAAACTTTTCGGAAACTTTTCAAAAAGGTTTTTGAAACTTTGCAGAAAGTTTTAGAAAACTTTGCAGAAAGTATGTCTGTCTGTCTATGTAGTTATCATCTATCGAATCTATCTATCTATCTATCTATCTATCTATCTATCTATCTATCTATCTATC